TAACACATTAAGTTGAGGAAACACTTGAGTCAAATGTAATTAAAGTCAGATCGTGTCTTAGACGGGGCAGTGATATCATAAACCTGTTAATGTACGCATTTAAACACTTGTTCTTTTACCAGCTGTATTCACCTTGCAGGTGCAGCTATGTGGCTTTTATCCTGGATAAAGTGTTTAAGTCATGGATGTTTAAAGTCTTCATATTTGTCTAATATTATAGGAAGTATGACGCTGCGCTGTCAGTATGCTTGTCCATGTTTGTGATTGGTCGAATGCTCCAAATACCACCCCTTTCATGTGAACGCGCACCTAACTAGATAGGGCACGGCTGGCTTGAGCGATCCACTTGATAACCCGCATCGTAGGACCGTTTAGCGAGAGCCCGTATGTTTTGGATTAGGCCAACCGGCTAACTCAAACATATCCAGGTTAGGTTGAACCGGCTTCGTAGTACAGGCCTCTGGAGAGCATGTGTGTGAAGAAGCAGGAAATAAAAAGGAACTCACCTTGTGGTATAACCGGCAAGAGAGAAAGCCGTTGAGCTCCATACTGTTTCAGAAATAATCCTTGATAATCCATGATATGGCATTTCATCACGGCAGTATTTAGTTTAGACAGTAGCTGCCGGGTCCCACATGAGCTCAGCCCTACTTTTTTATTTTTTAAAGCTTTATACCCAAAATCAGCACTTTTGAAACAGGAAGTGAAATAGAGGGATGTAATGGGTGATCTGTTTGGTATTTTGAGCAAAACACTTCATAGACATGTTTTTTATATATCTGAGACCTATGCTATTGCCTAAAAATAGCATGATAGGTGACCTTTAAAAAAACAGTTTGGATTTTGTTGTCATTTAAAACAAAAGATCTATCAATGTAATGTTATGGATCTATTTGGTTTAATTAAATGGATTGCAACTTATCAACCATTATTTCTTTGTGTAGCTTTTGTGAAACCTTGTTATTAAGTACCTTTCGCAGGGCTCACGACACACAGCTTGATTAAGAAAATGTTCCACAGATAACAAACCAGTGAGACAACAGTTCTTCGCTACTGTATGTGTGTTTATTTTTCTGCAAAACATCAAAAACAGGTATATATTCTTATTGACTTGAATTAAGATTCACAGCAAAACCTCATCAAACCTTTGAAAAGCTTTCATCGTGTCCACTCTACAATAATATTTTCATCATCATCATCATCATCAGAGCAACAACACACACCTACTGCTGGACGAGATGATATCCAGCCTGTTGTCTAAAACAAAAGCAGAGTAGCTGTGCTGTTTACATGGTTACATAAAAAAGTGAGTGGTAAAAGTAGTTCCTACAGTTTCCACAAAGACTACAACATGTTATCACATTATCAACAGGTACATGCGTTGAAATAGGGTTAGGGTTAGGGTTAGTAAATACAATTTCTTTTATCCATGACTTTGTAATGAAAATGATTGACAACTCTGAAAAATACTTTTAAATCTTTACTACTCCTTTGTAGGCTATCTCTCATGATGTGACAGTTAAGGGTAACATAATTTCCTCAACGTATCGTGTCAAATCACCAGATTATATGAACACAGCAGTGATTACAGAACAATGGGCTTTATTTGTTGAAACTGTTCGAGCCAACCACCCATCATAACTCAAATTGGTAGCTTTTAAATCCAATGATCAGAAAACATCCTAACATTATTCTATATGTGTTTGCATTACCTTAACCACCACGGTGGCTTAACACACGCTAACTAAACGTTTATAAAAAGACAATTACACAGTAGCTATGTGGATTAACGTTATCCAATCAGGCCCTGGAATCAGAGCATCCTTATTGTATACGAAATGTTTCTTTGATTAATAATCATCGCTCGCCTCCTCTTCCTCGTCGTACTTCCTCTTGACCGAGTGCTTCTTGTGTTTACCCCGGTGCCTCCGTTTCCCGGCGAGCTCGGGGTTAGCGTCCCTCGTGTGCGTCTGCTCGTGTTTCTTCAGCAGGCCGGGCACGGAGAAGCCCTTCCCGCACGTTTCACACGTCCACGGCTTCTTGCAGGTGTGCGTCCTCTTGTGCACGTTCAGATGGGACGCCAGCTTGTAGGTCTTGCCGCAGACGTCGCAGCTGAACGGTCGCTCGTTGGTGTGCAGCCGGATGTGGACCTTCAGATTCCCCACCTGGGTGAAGGTCTTCTCGCAGATGGAGCAGCGGTACGGTCTCTCTCTTGTGTGGATCCTCAGGTGGACCCTCAGGCAGTATTTGCTGGAGAACTTCTTCTGGCAGACGGGGCACGGGATCTTAGCTTTGGGCACGTGATCCTGCTGGTGCCTCTTCAGGTCCGACAGGTACACGAAGGTCTTCCCGCACTGGGAGCAGAGGTACTGGCGGTCTCCGATGTGGTATCCCATGTGTCTCTTCAGCAGGCTGGGGACGAGGAACCTCTTCCCGCAGCGCTCGCACATGTGGGGGCGGTCTCGCGTGTGCCAGCGCTCGTGGTTGGACAGCTTGAAGGCCGTGGGGAAGCTCTTGCTGCAGTGCTTGCAGGGGAACGTCATCTGGCTGGTGTGGCACTCCATGTGGCGCTTGAAGTAGGTGGACTGCGTGAAGCCCTTGTTGCAGATGTTGCAGTAGAAGGGCTTCTGGCCGCTGTGAGCCAGCATGTGTTTGGAGAGGCTCTGCAGTTTGGTGAAGCACTTCCCACACTGCCCGCAGGCGTAGGGGCGCGCCGTGCTGTGCGTCTTCAGGTGGTTGTTGAGGAACGCCTGGGTCCTGAAGCTCTTGTTGCAGGCGGTGCACACGAAGGGTTTCTCTCCGGTGTGGATGCGCTCGTGGTCCATCAGCTTGGACTGGTACGGGAAGCTCTTGTCACAGACGCTGCAGGTGTATCGGTCCGCCGGGGGTCGGATCTGCTTCTTCCTCCGGATGCTGGGCTTGTCGTCGTCGTCTAACATCAGCTGGGCGGGGGGGAGGGGAGGCAGGGCGGGGAGCGAGAGGGAGTTGGTGGCGATCTGGGACACCCACTGGTGCAGCGTGACCCGATGAGTGTTGGGCTTTTGGGCGTCTTTCGTTGCTGCTGCACTCTGAGAGGTGGACTTCACGGGCATGGAGACGACCCGGAAAGGGATGGCTTTTGGAGCCGGCTGCGCCTCTGGTTTATCTGCTGCTTCCTGTTCCCCTGGTGGTTCCTGTGTACTTTTCTTTGGCACCGATTCCTCCGTCTCAACTGTGTTTGCGGCACTTTTTTCCTTCTCTGCTCCCCCGTCAGCTGTGTTAGCACCCCCCCCCGCCGCCTCCTGTGGTCTGATGTCAGGGGTTTCAGCGTCGTCTGACATCAGTCCGAGGTCCTCAGCGTCACTGAGGGAGGCTGAGCTCGTTTCATTGGTTGTTACTTCTACACGTTTTGGGGATGGCGGGGGTGGAGGAGGTGGAGGTGGAGGAGGAGGTGGAGGAAGTGCCTCGACTGGTTTGGGTCGGAAGGCGAGTGAAGAGAGGACGCAGTTTCCCACGGACGACGAGATAGTTGCTGCATGAATAGAAAAAGTATGTCAACATTTAAACATATATGTACATTCATACCGTTACTACTGTTTATCTGTATTATTATTATTATCTTTATGTGTATTCTCATGTGTTTTCTTTCTGCTGTTTATTTGTTTTTGTTTTCTTTGTATTGTTTCTGTTAAAAATCCAATGTATTATTATTCTGTACCTCAAGGGTCAAGGCTTTTATTGTCATGTGTGCATAGCTACAGTGTAGTTATGACAACGACAATCTTAGTTCCCAGGCTCCTCCAACAGAGCAACATGAATAAAACAGATAGCAGGGTATCTGCAGGAATCCTGAAGTCTAGATGTAAGACCTTTTTTAAGACCCTTTCCATACATTTGAAGACCTCATCGCCACTTTGAGTTTTAACCGGTTACCTTGGCGACACACTTTACCTCACATTGACTATATACAGTATTGATTGTCCTTCCTCCTTATCTTCCAACCATGTGGACGCACACTTGCATTTCCCCATAACGATGTTGCTTAGCAACCGGCGTAAACGGACCTTCGCGTGTTATCAAGCAGTGAGCGTGCGATGTCCTGTTCAGATGACGTCCAATCCAACGGGGTGCCATAAATAAACTACACAGAACCACACTACACACCTACGCAATGATTACATTCAGGCAGACTGTAGAATACAACCTCTTTGGACAATTTATGTACTTATTGAAAACAAGCTACAAAATGTAATACCTTGGAAAATGCCGTTTAATACTTTTTAATAGCCTTCATTTTCTCTAAATTGATTTATCAACTTTTAATACTTTTTAAGACCCCGGATAATAGTGCAAGTAAATCAAATCAAATATAATAGAAATTGTGCAGAATAGTCTGTATACAAGTAATTGGAATATTGATATTATATAAGTTGCAAAGAGATGAATGTTCTTTCAAAAGTCCAGGTGTTTAACGGTCTAATGGCCTGTGGGATGAAACTGTCCCTGAGTCTGCTAAAACACCTGGATTCCAGGGATCACTAAGGGTCCATCTTGTCTTATCTGAAGTGTACCTTTAATACCCAGCAGCCCCTTGGCCTGCTGGTGCAGGAGGAGGGTCTTCAGGTCCCGGCTGTCTGGGATGAATCCGCCGCAGGCCCCCAGCTCCGAGGGCTGGACGGAGAGCATGGAGCCGAGCTGAGGACGAGAGGAAGGACACGGACACAACAAATGAGCATAGATTTATTGTTCAATATTAGGTTAGATCGTGTTTTTCTTACATGTACATTTAGATTTACTATTATATTATTTATACAAACACACATGTCTGAAATTAAAAACCTAATATGAAGTAGTTTCTGTAAAAACAACAACATTTTTACAACAACGAATGAGTTAAGAGTAGGTTTGCAAAAGGTCGGAACATTTCCGGTACATTTCCATGGGAAGCTAAGCTGGGGAATTTTGGAAATATTCCATATTGGAAACTTTCCATGGGAACTAACTGGGAATTTTCCAAATTGAAGGTTGGCTCTTCGTAGGGAACTTAAATATAGTTGGGGAAAGTATATTTCAGCATAATCTTGACTAAAACAAACAGATGCCATTCAAGTACACTTGAGTATCCATGCCATAGCACACTGCTTACTGCATGGCTATTGAGACCACACCCCCTGCAGGCACTGTGCATGGCTCCATCACATGCACAGATGGACCACACTCTTGAGCCCAAAGCACATTTTTGAATGAGTGGGGTTGGGGGGGATGAGTAATATTTAACTCAACATTCATGTTTTTGTTCTTCAATGAAACAAATGATTGTTCAATCAAATAATTAAAACGTGTTCTGTTCTACTTCTACATCTGTTGAAATGTCATGTTTTTTTAATTGTATCATTTTGCATGGATGTTTTCTTATGACAAAACAAAAATGTTTATATTTATGCTTGGTTATGATACAATTCGATTACATTACCCTCAATTCCCAGTTAGTTCCCATCATTTGGATGGAAAGTTTCCAATATGGAATATTTCCAAAATTCCCCAGCTTAACTTCCCACGGAAACTTACCAGAAATGTTCCGCCCCTTTGCAACCCTAGTTCCAAGTGAATCTGCGGCCCCCTGGTGGCCAGTACATAAATGATGTGGCCCCCACCACCATCCAAGTTGCCTATCCCTGCTGTAGGGGGTGTGGTCTCAATAGCCATGCAGTAAGCAGTGTGCTATATGCATGTGATGGAGGAATGGCATGGATATCCAAGTGTACTTGAATGGCATCTGTTTGTTTTAGTCAGATAGATTATGCTAAAATATATTTTCCCCAACTATATTTAAGTTCCCTATGAAGAGCCAACCTTCAATTTAGAAAATTCCCAGTTTATCCCATCTTTTCCAAGTCTAAGACTTCTTTTTGAGGGGCATAAAACTTCTTTTGCCAGGTTCAAGACTTCTTTTGTTTCGTATAAAACTTCTTTTTTTCCAGTTTTAAGATGCGTTTTTTCACGTATAAAACTGCTACGTAACACCCTGTACAGTCAAACTACCCCGTTTGCAACGAAGACATTTAGCCGTACATTGCGGCATATTCTTTGTATAAGATAAGAAACGTTCCGAGAACACCCCGGGCGGTAATTTACCTTCAAGCGCCCGCACTAAACCCGGGGGCCCGGAACCTCAAACTGTGGGGACGAGATTGCATTGTCCGTGTTTGTTTAGATATGAGACATTGGATGCCCAACGTTTTAAGTCACCCGTTAAAAGTTTCTACCCTTG